AATAGTTCAAAATACTTAAAACATCCGGCAAATTTTACCTTAAACATCTGTTGATTCAAATTTTCACAATGTAAAAGGAAAATATTTGCACTTAATCCGATGAGGGACATCTCGATTTTTTTGTTAATAAACTCGAGATAAGGGCATGAATGTAAAGTAAATATCAGATAATTTCGAGATAACAAGACACTTAAGATCATATTTAGGACTAACCAATTATCTAATCAGATAAACTACGCCAAATACATGTATTTCACTGCGATATAGGTACTGTGACCGATTTATTAAATAAAACAAATTATTTTCAAACAATATATATATATTCACCTGCAAGAAAAGCTACACAACCAAAAATTTACTGATCAAAATTGAATATTATTTCCGAAATTATTTTAAGACGATAGTAACAATAAATGCACAAAGAAAAACAGAAATAGATTTTTACATCTGTCTGTCGCTACCTGTGCTGCCCGAGTGACACGTACAGATTACAGGCAATATCAGAATTTGCAAAGTGCAAATCTTTACCATCACGCCACCTATTGGCGACGCATGACGTAGAGCAAAAATAATTTCAGCCTAATTCCAAGTAGTCAAACGGTGGAAATTATATACGTAAAAATAACTAGATAAGTGAGATCGACACAAGATCGGGAAACTTAAATGCTACAGTACATCATAAATGAAAAATTACAAAGAATCGATCACCGTGTTCTCTATTGCACAAAACCCATTCCATCACATATTTCCATACACAGATGATGTCCAAAATGGCCTGCTACGAAATATTGTATCTGACAGATTGTACAAAAGACACGCAAGTGAATAGTATCTTTTCATAATTCAAAGCAAGATACAGTAGAGCCAAACAATGAATGTACAGCTGTATTTCTTGTTAGGTGTTCAGATATCCTCTGAAGCAGTGCCGATTGTAAGTGAATGGTCTCTTGTCAAATGCTTTAGAATTGTAGAGAGCACCTTAGGAATAAACATCTGTTGTATTCTTTTTGATGCTCCGTCTTTTAAACACACAGCTACAAATTAGGGAATTGTACATCATAGACTTTGTGAGTGGGATTTTAAAGACTGCACGGGAAGCTGGCTAATACTAAGCTAGTACATGTAACATTGAATTCATGCACAGGAGTTAGGATACCGAATAAACAGCAACATGTAGAAACCATGGGCTGGGGAAGCAACGTTACTATCCAGAAAAGGAAAAAATAGCGTCAATATGCAACTTAGCAGAAAGCTGTCATTTGGTTACGTTGTAGGCAAAGATCAATGTAAGTGATAGAAGTATGAGTCACTCCTATAACTCATTTCAATTTCTGATGTATACTATCATTATGAAGGACTTGGCAAGATCTTTGTTACCTGCTTTTCGATGAGCAATCTGCAGGTAAAATTGGCAAGTTACCGCTTGAAAATGAAAACTAGCTTCAATATATATTAAGTAATTCCTACCTTTTCAATTAACAGAAGCCGGAATGAGAATTTACAGTAACTTTAATGGCAAACTAGCGGATGCGAGTACGGAACATCAAAACTCTCGAAACTCACAAATTGATCTATGTTCAAATTTAGGTAGACATTACAGACGTCAACAATCAAATTATGCTAGGATGGTACAGTACTGTGATTTTCTCAAAATGATAAGTAAGAAATTGATAATTTAAAACTTCCAAAGAATTAAACACCCAAATTATTCTCAGTGCAGTTGTGGCTTGCAATTGGTATGCTATAACCAGTTACCAAAACTTCTAATCTATTACTTAATAGTGATATCGTAACATCCAAAATATCTGGGATTTTTTTTTACATTAAATAGTTTATATCTAACATATTTTAAACAAATGATTTGTAAAACACAATTTCTCCCGAAAGACAGTCTCTTTAATGCAGCAAATTTTGAAGGCTTCCCGAAATTCTCATTCAACAAGATGTATCATGAAGAGCATGTTAATTTACATAAAATAATTGTGTACCTTTGTGGTGCTCATCCAAAGATCGAACTCAAACAGCGTCATTGTTGACAAGGACGGAAAGGTAAAGCCTTAATCTATTAAAATTAGAAGAGATCGGATTTAAGTCACAGCTGCATTTTTTTTTTGTCTATTAATAATTATTTATGCAATCAATACGGACTCTTGAGATAAAATAAAAATCTATATCGGCATAGACACGTATATTCTGGTAGGAACACGCGTGATCATGAAGCATACGGATGGCTTTAGCTAGTTATCTGTGTTGGTAAACAACCGCACAATCTTTTATCTCTTTGCTGTAGGTGGCTAGGGTATGAATTAGGCTAAGTTAGCGGTCACTCGCTGTTGGTAACCGGAGTATTTGGGTCAATGTTATGAAATAGCAGGGAGTAGGTTCAAGCAATCAACACTACGAAGTCACAATTATAAAAGGTGAAAATCGACAGTATAAAGCACTTTAACCTAATAAATAAAATAGATAGTTTTCATACTATGTACCTTATAATCTACCTTAATTCCTTATTCAGTATACGAGTTCAGATCAGCTACCACTCCTGGGCCCCGATATATTTTTCTGACATTTTGATGTCAACTACTTGTGCAATTCTGTCTCAATTCTTATAAAAACCTGATCCGATATTTGATGTCAATTACATGTGAAATTCTGCCTTAATTTTAAGAAACCCTTATCTGATATTTGAAGACATTGATCATTTGTGAAATTCTGTCTCAATTTTCAGAAATCTTGACCCGATATCTGATGTTAATTCCATGTGCAATTCTGTCTTAATTGTTAAGAAATCTTGAGATGTTTGCTGTCAATTACATATGAAGTTCTGGTCCAAATATTAAGAAAACCTTAATCCAATATTTGATGTTAATTCCATGTGCAATTCTGTCTCATCTTTTCGGAAAACCAGATCCGATATTTGATGTCAATTATTTGTGAAATTCTGCCTCGATTTTAAGAAAACCTGGTTAGATATCTGTATAGATAGCACACCCCAGGAGTCCAACACTACAACTTCCGGATAGTTATTTCTTAATGGTGGCTGTGTACATGTTTTTAAACACTTACATAAGTTACTAAATGTCAAAATCTGAATTATTACTCATCCAAGACAGTCGCGCCATACAGTGTAAAAATAAAGACCTTGAAATACTCCCTGGTTTTTCACATCGAGACTCGTGATTGTAACCTTGACCTTAGATATATATATATATATACACAACGTAAGCATTTTCTCCGGGCAACCTTACCTAGTGGAAACACAGCGAAGTTCTAACCGAACATTCCTCTTATCCGGACTCGATACGTCAATCACACTTAAACACTGTTTGTTTAGTTATCGTAGAAAAATTCAATAAAATTAGATTGCATCAAAATTAGAGTACATCTGGCAATAAACACCTTCACAACAGATTACATCATCAACAACATCAAGACTTGTTCAACATATCTAAACAGAAGGAAAAGTTACTTCACAGGCCTACAATGAAGCCACCAAACTTGTAATACATCAGGACAAACCGCCAGTTGAATATTTCAGTGATTTAATGAAATTGATACAGACATATATTAAATGATTATTTACAAAATGTACAGATTAACTTTATTGCAGGTCAACATGTGTCATGCCTCAGTATTGATTCAGTGTACTCCCTTTTATCATCACACCAATAACAACATAAAATGTCACTCAGTGATTGCTTGCATATATACATTTTTAAGCTAATGCTGGATGTGATAGATCGCGATGACAGAGTTAACTCCCTTATAGGTAAAAATCATGTATGTAAGATCTCCTGAGCAATGTTTCTTTATAAGTGGTTCACAAGTTATCTACGACTGTTCATAATAACATCAAATAAGAGATTGCACTGGGATCAAAGAGCACAAAAAATAACCTTTCTCTCCGTAACTGAACATGTCACAAAGAAAGCTTGTAGGAAAATATGTCTGGTCACTTATAATACCAAACACAGCAACGAGTCATAATTTATTTTCCTATAAATTGGCTGCATATAAAACAGAATGTTTCTTTTTTTTTAATGACAGTTCATGCCTTAAACTCTTCTCACCTCTACTGACAAATCTCTGTTTTATCACCTAAAACAATATATTAGAAAGTGCATCACCATTGCCCCTAAACATGTCTTAAATGTGCTATGTGAAGCCCTTATCCCCAAGGTGAGTTTTCTTTTCTCAGTCTATAGTGTACAAGCTTTGATAAGTTCATTTTTGGGTAACATTTTTCTTCAGGTTGGTAATGTCAATAGAACAGTAGTTCTTATAAAACAACTAGTAGAATATAGAAGTTCTCAGAACTCAACCAGTAGAATATAGAAGTTCTCAGAACTCAACCAGTAGAATATAGAAGTTCTCAGAACTCAACCAGTAGAATTAATAGGTACAGAATCTTCTACTGGTTGGGCTATAAGAACTTTTAATCTATTGATAAATAATTTTTTATGTAAATACCTTTCACCCTTCTTTAATATTGAAAATATTTCTTTTGTAAATATTGACCACGTACATCAACATTAAGATAGAACGACTTAGATAATTGAATTATGTGTGGTTCTCAAACAATGCCTTCTATGACCAACATTTGATACTGCTGACAATTCTTAGCAATTTAACAGTCAAGACTTCGGACGATGATAACATGCATGTATCAAAAGTGTTAGCTTTATATTTCATAAATATGCAATTTAGTTATAAAAAGTTCTTCATTCACAATTTTGTAATCTTCATTTGTAAATGTTTGACAAAAGAAAAGATTTATTAATGTGCAATATCTCTTGTTATCATTTATGCCAGAATGGAGATTCGTTGTTTATAGTTAAACAGAAACAGCATAAATGGAATATATCGTATATTTCAGTGTTGTCATGTAAGGAAGAGTGACAGAAACATACAGAAACATATCTGACTTGGTCAAATTTACTGGGACTCTGAAGTATATCAAAGTCATTAAAATAGTCATTTATAGAGTCCAAAGACAGGTGTCATGACATCTTCTGGCCAGGAAAGTAAGCTGAGGCTAGTGGTGGCTGTGTAGTCCTAGGCACTATGCCCTGCTGGCTGAGTCGTACAGTATTGTTTGGAGGTAAGATACTAGACTGTATGGGAGGTGGAGATCCGGAGTGCTGAACAAGACCTCGTAAAGGAATAACATCATCGCGCTTCTGAAGGTACTTTGGATCTAAAGGAGGATCACTGTTTAAAGAAAAATAAACGTGAATGTGAGTTATCAAAATATACATGTGTGTTGATAATGTTTTAACAATATAGGTTATGTAAGTCTATATGATTACAATGTCTTAAATCCCTGAACAAACGTTAACAGGGAAATTCTCAAAACACTGGACAAAGCACGTTAATAGATTATGATGAAAATAATTCTTTCATGTTGTTAATGAGGAAAAAAATTAATTTAAAGTTTAAGAACAATAAGAATGAAAAATTTACCAGATTTTTTTTTTTAAATCAATGTTTTCTTGATTTTAACTAATCACTTATTTTAGAGAATCCTTAAATATGTCTATTTCAGGTTTAGTGTAGTCTATGTTTATATTTCAATAGGTTGTAAGGTTTGTACAATCCGACTTCTAAGGCAGACGGGCATTTCGTATTTACAGCCGTCAATGTCTTTTTTGAATGCAGAAACATTTATACACAAATGAACTAAAGGCCCATATCATTTAAATAAGTGATTTTTTTTTACATTAAATCAAAATAAATGATTTACTTGTAAACATACATAATACAGTGGTAATCTTATATCTTATATCATTTTGAGCTCAAGACTTAGCATTAAAATATGACTATGCATTAATAACTGCAGTTTCTGTTTGTCATTAATACATAATTCTTGTGAAATTGATATTGCTCTAAAATAAGTAGGTTTACTTCGTCCCTGTAACACAATTTTATACAAGACAAAAGTAAGAAGACTTTACTATTTTCTGCCACCTACTTTTCCTTGTCTCCGCCTGAGCCTCCTGATCCTGGAGAGTGATGTGGTCTGATCTCCTCAGGGATGGGAACAGGTGCTATCTTCCCTTTACTTGGTAAGGGTTGGGGCAATCCAGTTTTCCTGGGGTTTCCTGGGTTGTATTGTACCTGAAGAATAGCAATATATCAGATATTTAAAAAAAATGAAGCAACATTAACTTTATCAGTTAAGTGTACAGCAAACCCTTCTTAACACTCTGAAGTACGTTGTTAAGACCGGAAAATGACCATGTAAATTATGCATTTTAAATAGGTCAGATTTAGCATCCATGATTAATGATAAAGAATACCACCTAAAGCCAATTATGAATGAATACTTCTTCACAATGGCATAATGGGGCCGATATTTCTTTACAATAAAGATATTGTGTTGTGTACCTGTTGGTGTCTGTGAGGATTTGGGTATGACCTTGGCATAGCAACCCCTACACTATGACTCTCAGGATGTGATCCCTGGGACCCGTAACTTGATGTACTGTAATTATGCTGTCAAAAAAAAAAAAATCAAATCCTTAACAGAATACATATTGCATTACCTCTCCCTCTCTCTTTTTTTTCTCCCTCTCTTTTCATAGACCTCTTGAGACAAATATAATCAAAATGAAAGTTAAAGTCTAAATATTTTCATAAGGAATGACCTACCATAGCTGAGGAAGGCCTAAAGTTGGTAGTAGCACCTGGCATCTCAAACATGCCTGCCCTCTGGTGGTTCACTTGTGTCTCGTTAATCTGTTTATTCAACCACTGTATCACTGAAAATATCAATTAAAACAAATTTTTTTTTAATTTTCAAAGGAAAATCTTACAGCAGGGGTTTTATTAAATATTAGATAATAGTTATACTCAAATAAGATTAATCAAGAGGTGGCATCACCAAAAGGACTTGCACACATCCTGTTGGCTATTATCACAATGGTCATACAGGAAGTTATTTAATAGAGTGCTGTCTTATCATTGCTTGTCATGTAAATTTCAATAACACAAGTGAAATTAAAAAACAATTTGTTATGTAATATACAAAATGATAACATGTAAATCAGAACAAACCATTTTCATTTGTTTTCAGGAGTTGACGACTTTCTTCTAATTTTTCCATTGTTCCCTTGAGATTCTCATTCAACTTTTCATTCTGAAATTACCACGAGATCTCAACATAATCAATAGTAATCAACCATGCGGTAATTGTACTGATAAATCCAGACTTATTACCCTTGTTTTACAGTAGAAGATTTTTTTTTGTGGGCGTGTAATTTAAATCTCAAATATATTGTAATTATTTCTTGTTACGCATATCATAATAATAATCATTGGAAATAAGAATACCAAGTACTGGTTATGAATAAAACATTTCATTGAGATATTCTGAATTTGAGATGCTGACAAAGAGAAGATGGGATAGACAAACAGCAGACAAGCTTATTACAAAATATTCCCGAAACTTGTTGGGCCACACCAGTGATCAAAGATATTTCTTGTTGACACTTTAAGTCTGGTTCAATACCTCTTCTGTTTTTTGTTTGAGATTGTCCTTAGTAGAGGCCAGATCTTGTCTTAATCGCTCCAGCTCCTGATCCTTCTCGCCCAGTAATTTTTCTTGTTCTGTGGCAATCTGATTCCTCAGTTTTATCTACAACACAGTCATCACACCACTTCAAGTCAACAGACATCAGCAGTAATGATTTTAGTGGAAGCTGTGTGCTATATATTATACAATATTTCCTCTTCTTCAAAATCTTTAAAAAAAAAAATCTTTCCCTAGATTTCTTAACTTATTGAATGAACAACAAGAAAATTCTCAAGACACAGATAAAACAATAAGGTACATATTTTCCCAATTCCCTTAGAATGTTGCGTTAAGTTCTTATTTTACCCTTAGAATGTGGATTAAGTTCTGATTTAAAGTACTGGGGTTATAAGTCACCCTCTATCGGACCTTCACTTAAAATAAATATCTATGGTCTTCAAACCTCTAGAAAATTCACAAAAAACTGTCTTTTAAATATGTAATCACCATATACAAAGCTTCTACCATCAGATTCAACATCAATTTTCAAAATTTGTTTCTCCACTTGAAAGGACAGTTCTTTATTTGTACAACTGCCAAATCACATCGATATAAAAGAACTGAGGATCAACACCAGGTCAATCATAGATATATCAAGCAGGATTTACCTTTGCATGATAATTTTTAATCTCTCCTTGTAATTTCTTAATGATCTCATTGCCTTTCATCAGTTCTTCTGACATAGCTCGCACTTTGTTTTCTAATTTGTAAATATCTTTACTTTTGAAGTCCACCTCATCTTCGAATTTTCTCTGAAAATAATGAAGAAAATATGCAGAAAAATATGACATATATGAAAAAATAAACTGAAAACAATATTTAAATTACACTGTGGTTAATGTTTTTTCCTTAGGCATTGCAATCACAATAAATTGGATGTTATTGTCATGAACACAAATTTATGACATCATCTAACTATCACATGGTTACATAATGTAAATTATTCACACATCCTTTCGTCAAGTAAACTGTCTTTTCCTTATAGGAAGAAATATCTACCTTTTTCCTACAAACATAATTTACTTGTGAAGTATGAGAGCAACACATGTGAGAGACCTTTCTCAAAAATCGTATCCAACAAAGTTAATATTCTGAGTAATTTTTGTCTGCAGTAGAATATATGGTATAATTTAAACATATTAAAGATTGCACCAGTGAATCAAGACCTAAACACTCACCTTCTGGTCCTGTTCAGACCCTAACAAATCTGACGATCTTGCTATAACTTGCTCTTTATCTTTGACTTCCTGTTCCAGGACCGCAACACGGGTACTGAGCTGATTAATGACTTTCTCTTGTTCATGGTACTCGCCATCAAGGGATGTGTTCTGTTTCCTCAAACTCTGTAGCTCTTGTTTAGCTCGTAAATGTTCTTCCTCCAATAATGATAACTTGGATTTCATTTCCCGAATACTGGACTCGGATTTATACTTTCGGTCTAACAAGTCCTGAAGGAAAATGCAAAATACTCTTAAAACATTGCAAACAATCCAAGTCATCCAAGTCTATAAAAAAGAAACAATTTAATCATGTAGTTAGGATCAACTTTTACCATATTACAAAGTCCCTCATAAAATCCAAGTTTAATACTCCTTATGAACAACTCATGCCAAAATAATGACAGGAGGACATTGAAGTACCACAACAAATAGTGTCACTGACTTACTGCAATATCACCAATTTTTGTGGAGGATTAATTTTCATTGATTTTGTGGGTACACTCAATAAAGAAATTAAACAAATTCATATGTTCATGAACTTTTCAAATAAGTGGAAGTAGATTGTTTAGACATATTTATCCACAGAATCAAGTGTACACCAAAACGTTTTTTTTTAATGCCATTATCTCGACAAGGTCTCAGTCACCAGCACACACCAGTAAAATATCTTATGTTTTAATGCAATTCCATATCTTTGCATGAGCTATGCTTACCTTGCTGATAAGTCACAAGAGTGATAAAAACTATTGTTTGCAAAATCAAGAGATTAGCACTTTTAATAATAAAATGAATACAGATTTCCCTTACAGTGAAAATTGCCTACTGTAAACACATGAAGAAAATTACTTTAGGCAGTAGGGCAAACAGAAAAAAGTGAGCTGAAGTTTGACATTAAAGTTAGTATAAAAGTTATGATTATTTTAGGTTTGTGAGGAAACCTGGGCAAATGTTTCCATGTATGCAGTAAACATCAATGAATAACGATAACTTTAATTACCTTATTGGAACCTTCCAGGTCATATAACTTTGATTCCATTTGTTTAACAATTTTCATGTGAGCTTGTTCCATATCTTTACGATCCCTTTCCTGTTTCTGTTGGTAACTGCTTTGCATCTGAAAAAGGACATGAAAACTTACATATATATCAATCTAAATTAACTCCCTTAATTATGTTTCCAGACTAAAAATGTCCTTCTAAAAAACATTTTAAGGTAAAAAGATCCTGGATCATTAGTAAGAGCTATAATTTATGTTATGGAAATCGTGTGTCTTTTTATATTGACAATTGTTATTGTCTCAATTTGTCTGTAAACAAATCTTTTCCACAGTAAGCCAGGTATGTCTTTACTATGCATATCATATCAGCAGAAATGCTTTCCACTTATCAAGGAAAGCTTACAAACAGTGCATTTTGTATTTCGTAACATTTTCTTCGGGTTCATCATTTCAAAAGAATAGAAGTTCTTAAAACACAACCAGGAGAAGATTAGAGTGTGACATTTTGATGCCTACATGGTCACCTCCATCAGACAAACCAGTGTGGAGCGTACTAGCACTGGCATATGCAGTGTATAAAAGGAATTGTTCACCTTTTTTGGTTATACAAAAATCCCATAATTGTCTGAAAAAGGTTTTTTTCCCTGTTGACTATTTTGGGATTTTCCTAGACATCTATAAGATTTTGCAAAGTGTACATAACATTAAAGTACAGCCGAAAAAGTTTCCAATTTCTTTTAATTTCCAAACATAGCATTAAGAAAGATTGTATTAGTATCTTCCTGCCCAGAATACAAAAAATATATATAATACAAAGAAAAACAGATCCAACGTCCTGTCTGGTAGACTCAGTAATATCGGCAGTCTTCCTAGTGGAATACAGGAGTCTGGTTCAAAGATGTATAAACAGCAAATGTAGAGGACCAGACAACATCCGCATGAAGAATTAAAACTGTTGAATACTTGATAAAAAATATATAATTATGCAACTATCTTCTCTACATTTTCTACATTCAGATTAAATCCCCAGGACATGTTTGACACATTTCTTGGCAAGCTGAATTCAAACTGAACCACTTTAATGTATTAAGACATGATCATTGATACAGACATGTTTTTCCTATAAAAGTTTAAGGTAGATATACCTGTAGAGTCTTTTCTTTCTCTGTTGCTATCTCATGTTTGTGTCTCGCTGCCTGGTCAGTTAGTTTGGCTGTCCACTCAGCCTTCAAATGCTCCAGCTCCACTGACTTGGATGTGAGAGTCTGTTGTAGAACAAGACCAGTGAGAGGAAACACCATACAATAATTGTGTTGTAGACAGATCTATGTATATTTCTGCCAAAATACAAACTAAATAAACAAAGGTTCTAATTTTTTAAATTTTTTTCCAAACCTGGTCAAGTGTCACCTTTGACCCTAACATTGACCGATGACCAACAAAACCTTTTCAAGAGTAGAAGTTAATGTTGTGATAGTAGGATGCTATGAATATGAACTAAATTTATTGAGAATTTCATAAGAAATGTTTGAAAGATTTTGTTTCAATATGGTCAAGTGTGATATTTAACTTAAAAAACTTGACCGATGATCACCAATAATACAATATCTTATCAGGTGTAGAATTTGATATTGTGATACAACTTAAGCTGTTGAGGGGCTCATGAGATATCTTGTACAAACGTTTTGTCCTATGGACGCACAAAGACAATTCAATACACTATAGACATAATATGTATCCCGTCTTTACTAAGTCAGGGGTATAATAAATTATTTTTGGTGATTTAGTTTCCAAAATGACATGCAATTTTGAGTGAATACTGTGACTTCACTTGATAATGCATGTTAGTCAGAACAGAATCTACTACCACTTAAGGAGATAAGGAGAACAAGTTTCTTTTCCTAAAAGCAACAGCTGAACTCAGAATTGTTTCTTACATCATTATCTACACCCTGTTACATACATAACACATACAGTACATGAATTATACAGCGACCACAAAGAAACAATAAATGCAGTGCTGTTTAAAGGTAATATAGGATTGGTTTTACCTCATACTGCCCTGAACAGCTGATACTCACCTCCTGTGTTTGTTGTAAGTTGTGGCTGAGAACACCACCATGTGTGTGTCAGTTCAGTTTTACCAGATACTGCCCTGAACAGCTAATACTCACCTCCTGTGTTTGTTGTAAGTTGTGGCTGAGAACACCACCATGTGTGTGTCAGTTCAGTTTTACCAGATACTGCCCTGAACAGCTGATACTCACCTCCTGTGTTTGTTGTAAGTTGTGGCTGAGAACACCACCATGTGTGTGTCAGTTCAGTTTTACCAGATACTGCCCTGAACAGCTGATACTCACCTCCTGTGTTTGTTGTAACTTGTGGTTGAGAACACCACCATGTGTATATCAGTTCAGTTTTACCAGATACTGCCCTGAACAGCTAATACTCACCTCCTGTGTGTGTAAATTGTGGCTGAGAACACCACCATGTGTGTGTCAGTTCAGTTTTACCAGATACTGCCCTGAACAGCTGATACTCACCTCCTGTGTTTGTTGTAACTTGTGGTTGAGAACACCACCATGTGTGTGTCAGTTCAGTTTTACCAGATACTGCCCTGAACAGCTGATACTCACCTCCTGTGTTTGTTGTAACTTGTGGTTGAGAACACCACCATGTGTATATCAGTTCAGTTTTACCAGATACTGCCCTGAACAGCTAATACTCACCTCCTGTGTTTGCTGTAACTTGTGGTTCAGGTCAGCATCTGTGTGCTCTAATCTTTGTTGTAACAATGCATTAGTATCCTGGTGGAAAAAAAAAACCAAAATGTCATGATTCCCAGAAACATTGCTGCCTTATTTACTATTTCATATACCTTGTGATATTTCTTCAATATGAGCAAGAACTATTCCTTGTCTTTCATATGACAAAGGTTCAAACATGTTTATTTAAGCTATGTATTGCTAGAGCAGGAACAAAGTCTTCCTTAAAATATCAGAAAAAATTTGATGGTATTGTTTGTAATGATATCGTGATTTTTGTTAAATAAAATTGTAACATATAACTTTTTTCTAATGTTCCTTTTTTTATCAAAATATCTGAAATATATATCTCGAGATGACATGTCTTAACTAGGTACCTGGTTATTGCAAAATCAGACATAATACTAGTAGTCATGTCCCTTTCTCATCGCTGGCTTTTTAAACATAACCCAAAACTTGTGATCTGCGCATCGCTACATCATAATGACCCAGATTTTTCAAGGTGTGATTATAAAAATGCTTAACATTTATTCAAATTGAAGTATCAAATAATTGTTTTCAGTATGAATTGATATTGATTTAGTCTTCGTGCTTGATCTGTCTGGAACATGTATGTTTTTACAAAGAAATAAACTTGTGTAACTTTTTAAAGTTTTCCAAGATATTGTTGTCTTGCTTCTACAATCCTGATATATCATGACATAAAGTGATTATGTAGCTTTACACAATATCCTTTTACTTACAGACATTCTTTGATAAAATAACAAACGTTTGAAGAGTAAATGAGAAAGGCTATAAATCTATATACCCTCAGCTGCTTCAGGCAATCCGCTAAGTACTTCTTCACGTCAGAATCAGTTCCCGGGAAAAACTTGAGACTAAGATGGGTAAGATGCTTAAACGGATTGGTCTCTATCACATTCAACACAGACATAGTTCTGTCACCACTAACAGAACTTTGAGACACAAAGTGTAACACGAATCTGGAATGATCAAATTACAAGTATCACACACATTTCTTAGGATTTGGATGCTCGTACTTAATAACATTAACATGTTAACATGTTACCCTCCCTTGGTGTCTATAACTAGTGTTAATTTGTTACTTTATCCAACTTTTGCCAAATGCTCTAGATCAAGTATTTATCCAAGGATAAACATCCAGTTTGAAGGCTTAAAGGCACTTAAAGATATGTGTGGTGAAGTTTAATTAATAGCATGATGTAATTGTGACAAAAATGTGCCTTCCAGGCTCCTCTCCCTCGATGTAAATTTTTGTAACGACCATTATAGTTACTGAAATATGTTTTGCGTTGTTTACACATGTACATGTATATCACACATTACATACTACATACTTTGGCATTTCTTTGTGTTCCTCTCGTAAACACATATCTAAAAGGTCAATAAATTTCTGAGGGAATGCCGCAAAATCCACCAAAAGGCCTTGTTGTGTTTTTAAGCTGTAAAAACAAGAAAATTTAAAGTTATTACCATTTTAACAACAGTTTTCTGGTGGCAAAATTTATCTTAAGAAAAAAAAAACCACCCTAAAATTCATCAAAAACCTTATCTTAAAGTTGAGGCTATAATACATTGAACTGTAATTTCCAAACTTTGATGAATAATTCAATTCTCACTAACATTTATTTCATCAAAAAGTCCTAACCTAAGCATTGAAATTTACGCATCCCCAACACTTTTTTCAATTACACTAGTTTGGTGTAATAAGCCTGATTACCTTTGGAAATCCTCTTCCCCAATACGCAGTGTATACAAAAAGAACAAGTCCTTGTCATCTGTCATTTTTACCACAAGCTCCTGTCATCAAAAAAAGGGAAAAGTTGAAATTAAAACTTTTTTTTAAAAAAACCATAAAGATCCCTAAAATGTCTGTTATCTTGTTGTTTACAGTCCTGCAAGACTGACAAAGCAAAGATATAGATTTTCTCTGCCAATATCTACATGTTTGATACATGAGATCATGGTTAACATGGTAGACTTTCCATAGCCACCATTCAATATTTAATGATTTTGCATCTTCTTGTTAAACAGAGATAACTGGAGAAGGAATCATTAGCTATATAGGGGAACATTATTTGTAGCATGGTTTTCATTTATACATAAAGTGTATGCATGCAAAAGGACTATAAACCGTAGGTGCCAAAGAATTAGACTGAGTTTGGTTTGTAAAGGCACATTCCAGTTTCCAGGTAAGCTGATGAAATTCTTTAAAAGTCAACAAATCAACCGAACACCTCGTTAATATAGGAATCTGCTGCATCATATTTTCATAAAAAGATAATTTCCTTTTTAGAGATTATTTCAAATTTGTGGAATTAAAAATCACATAAGGAAAAGAAATTTATATTCACTATACAAGTAATTTTGACAACTGTTATTGAAAACTTGTCATTGATGCATGGCACATTGGAGAGTTGACTTGCTATAAATGTTATAAATGATATATTTAATCCAAACACTCTTGTACAAACCTTTTTATGTAAAGGTGAAGATACTGTCTGCAGTTCCATCCTCAACTGCACATACATGCGCCTGAAAAATAGTATAAGACATCAAAGATCACTTGATATTCTTTTTATCATAATATGAAGTATGGCTGCATTTCCTTATGATGGTAAACATATGATCTCCCAAGTTTCCCTCCCTAGCCTTTCTCAAAAATTAGTTGTTGACGTGGGTCAGTAATTATTGCTTTGAAAACCATATTGAGACACACCTAGCCATTATAATTTGGAATTTTGATAGAACAATGTTAAAACAATATAATTTCATTCTCGATTCCAATTTGGTTGACCACTGTAGGATCCAAAACTTAATTCTTATGGCACTTCAAACAAGGTCAAGGATTTGTTATAATTAAGCCTTATTCCTGTAACTGTTTCAATCTCTATGACCAACGCCAAGGGAGACATCATCTGATATCAGGGTCACAATGAGCACATCATAGCTCAGTCATGATCAGTAGAGCACTGATTAATGTGTCTTGTCATGGACTTGAAATATTCTAGATCTAGATGTATCTATCCCATATTGTCTGTGATAAGTTACAAATTATAGCCACTACAGCAGAAGACCTTCAAGACACAGACTATGATATGCTTTAGCATTGGCTAGTGGGAATTCCTCTTTAGTCCAGCCGTAGGGTGTCTGGCTAGAGACTGAAAGGTTGCTAGTTCGAATCCCAGCAGTGGCAAGGTGCTTTCCATTACTCCTTCCTATTAAAGATTTGGTGATGTTGACCACTTCAAGGGTTGAAGCTATAGGAGATTGAGATGCTTCCTTGGAGATACTGAACCTGTGTTGTTGTTTTTGTCTTTGGGGGTGGAGATTTTGTGATGGACGGAGTAGCACAGAAATTGAATGTTCAGGTCACCTTAGTCCTTATTAGCTTTGGTGAGTGGGAATTTCTCTCTAGTCAAGTGTCAGAGTATCTGGCTAGAGACCAAAGGGCACAGACCTCCTATACATTGTTTAGTAAGGTAGCCACCAGCTACTCTCTGGTACCCTGCTTCAAAATTAATCTGGCTGTTGATGGGATGATAAAACCAGTGAACAATCGTCTTGACATTGACAGCATATGAGAAAGAGAATGATGATCTTCCTGTGTAAACACACTCGCACACACACACACACGTACACTTTCTTGTGAAAATATTCGTGATCACACTTGGATGATGCTTCTACAGATGATACTGAGCATGTTGATAAGGTCTGTATGAATGGTGACAGTTCAAATGATCTATAGCCTATACTAGTCTCAACCTTCCAACATTCACCAATATTCTACCCGTAAAATGTGCAGGCCTTGAATTTAAGGCTTTTTACTGGCTATTTGCAAGTACAAATCCAAGAATTACGAGTAGAAAAAATAATGACTTGCTTTTTTCAGCAAGTGGATTCATCAGATGCAAACTGTGAGTGCCGTCTATTCCTAACATTTCACAGAATTAAATTGATTTGAGCAAGTGACACAAAATGTTAAATTCGAGGCCTGGTGTGCTTACCTATCCTCACGGTCCGGGCACTTGAATACTACCGGTAATTTTTTGGTAAATAGTTCGTCTGCCATTGTGAATATCCTTATATATAAATAAACAATCAATTAAATAATAACAAAATGAAGTGGAATAACGTCAAAATTCACTAGCCCTTCGCCGAGAAGTGGACGAATCACATTTTTGCTATCACGGTAATTCTAAATCCATTCTTTGGAACGGGTTCAAATATCTGTGACACATGTCAGTGGTCGATGTCTTCCAAATCAGAGTACAATAATATTCAGATGTGTGGAGACATGCGCCGTGAAAATAACCAGGAACCTTCCAATGTAATTGTTTCCTTTTCGGAATGTTCAGACATGTTCAAGTCGCCCGCTCGGTAATGTGTATATTACAGATTTACACATTGGCAAACTCCGAAACGAAACGAAAATAAAATTAAACAATGCATTGCTATCAATGTTATCCCTAAAGTGAAATATATGAAATGTTATCATGAATACAGTGATACTGATACCGACGTACATTTTAGCTCAAAATAAAAATAAAACCGACATATTATCTTTAACGTCTCTGATGACAGTTCGGACGTTTTCTGGCTCAGAGGAAAGGAAATGGCGGGAATAGTTTAAAAAATATACTGTATGATACCTATCTACTTTCCTAAGCTATGGGTTAGCATTTATCATACATAGGAACGCAGATTTACCCTATAACTGGTACCGCCAGATATATGTTTTGTTACAGACTGAGTTATTCAGCAGTAAAAGGAAAACAGCCATATTTCAGCGCATAAATTCGACAAAGGAACTTTCTGTTTAACTTAAATAGACTATTACATTATAAATATCATTATAACCTTTTAGATTTTATTTTGTTGTATTTGACAAGTTTATTTAGTTATTACATGTTATATCCAGGCTTTTAGAACCTATTTAGGACTTGACTACACTGAAAGTAAAAGTTCTCAAAGCGCACCAGGAATCAAGCCTTGTAGATCCACGTTGTATAACCGACAAGACAGAGCAAGACCGACTCACTGTACTCAAAAATGAATGTAAAGGTAAAGCCACAGAGTAAACACCAAATTAAAAAAAAAAACCTTTCTGGTCTTCGATATGTATATAGGCATTCAATGGGGGTTTTGCTACTGAAATACACATCAAAAATATGTTATACACCGGTAAAATCGACCCATCGCACACCCGTATCTTTTCAAGGAAAAGGTAAAGGGGATGGGTGGTGTGGAGTTAGGTTTGTGTGGGGTTGTCGGCTTGAAAATGCATTGCCGGAAAAAAATAAACCTATTTGACAATTGCTATGTCTTCACCGTGGTTAATATTAAGCTTAGATGTGATTCGATAGACACCAAGCCTTCCATAGATCCAGATTGAGAGTAAAAACAATCAGAAGCGGATACCAACCGGATTTACCATGATAGCTTCATTTCTGAAGGTACGCAAAATGTAATATGCTATCAGAGATTCATTGAAGAATTAATTTTATGCGTTACGCTTTGTTCATACAAAGTCTAAACTGATGGGATATTTCCCACATATATCTGACAACCGTCGTTTAGAAACAAAAGTGTAAACAGTTCACCGGCCAAAATGTTTCAGCCGATTACAGTCTGTCATGCCGGTTAACCTTCCCCGAGTAAGATACACATAACCATGTACGGGCGATACAATTCTTTTGTAACCGGTGTTCAGTTGTATGTGAAAGACGCTGGTCGACAGCTGTAGACTCGAACGGCCCTTGTTCGATTCCCGTTAGGACGCGCGATAAGAACGTGTTTTAAAATCTTATTTTTTAACCAATGATATCTGCCCATCATTGTGATCAATGGCAAAATTAACTACTCCAGCATATGAAAGTGATAGATGTAATTGTGATTGAATATAATACTGTGTATAGTACTATGACACCAAGAAGTAGAATGATTCCCCAAATCGTGAGGATGCATCAAACTGGGGGTCCATTGTATCAGTATCCTTCGAATTAAGGATGTTCCCAACCTGTTCATATTTTTCTTCCTCCTTCTTTTTCTGGTGAAATCTGATATATAATGCTTGAAATAAGAGGATAATATTTTCTAGAGGCAATGTAAAATTAATTTTCTATTGAAATAGAATTAAATTTTCATACATTTTTTTCTGATTTTCGTAGTATACATGTATGTAGTTTGATATATTTTGGGACACAATCAATACAAACATCTTTGAGTGGAAGTTGTTGTAATGAAAATTTTGACATTTAGAAAATAAAAGTTACATTTTTTGTGAATTGATAACAATGGTAAATTAACATATGGGTGTTTTCTTGTAGAAAGCCACAGTTCCTCTTTGTCAACATGGCAGGAGTTTCGTACAGTCTTTAACCAGTTGCAGAAAGCTTCACCAACTGCCTGTGGTTAATTTGGCAAATGCTCCATCAATAACAGAAACAGCAGACAGAGGAAAGCCTATAGATGTCTTCACAAGACTGATGAGGGATAGGATCATTTGTCTGATGGGAACTGTAAGTACCCAACGCAGACTAAAATTTGAAAGATGTTTCACATTTTCCACTTAGAGAGATGAACATTTTGTCCATTTATTAAAAATACAAAAAATTGTTGAAAGGCATTTGTGTTTACTGCTTAATGGCGTTGGTGCTAATTGATGATGATAAAAGTCCGACAGGCAATGAAATTTACATACATTATATATAAGAAAAGTATATGCTAAAATTTCCTTGAATCATTTTTCCTTGCATTTATTTTTATGTCAGTATTTCTGAACATGTTCTTTTCTTGTCAAATGGTGGAAGATTTCAAGGATATCAGCACTCTAAACTGATATATATACAATGTATGCATAGTTGCAAAATTTACTTTTGAAATTGGTTTAGTACCTTTGCAAATATTTTTTTGCAACAATATCTCAAATATGTTTTAACTTCATTTCGATGACTTTATTTCAGGTTCTGATTTTCCCGTTAAAGCATTTTGATAAAAAACATTAAAAGATTACAGAAATTTGTGCCTTTTTACCTCTGATCATTAGGTAACAGATGATGTAGCAGAAAAGGTGATGGCTCAGCTATTATGTTTACACTTTGAAGATCCAGAAAAATTGATCCGAGTGTTCATCAACAGTCCAGGCAAGACAATTGTATAGACAGTGCTTCTTGCAATATAAATATCTGTAGATCCAGACTAGCTTACTGTAATATGTCTTTAAAAGTAGAACCATAAATGGAGAATATAAGTAAAAGTCAGACTTTGCTATGTAGATATGTTTACATTTTTTGTTTTGTTTTTTTGGTTTCCATGATAGCATGTTTGAAATGTTGTGCCAAATATTGTAACTAGTCATTGGCTGTAATTTGACATATTAAAATCAAATGTTTCTATTATCATTACCATGGTAACACACTGGAGACTTCAGATTGGTCTGAGTTAAAATATTAGTTATTCAAAATGAAAATCAGTATACAAATTTTTCAGATACCAGTCTTTTTTAATCCAGTTGATACGTAAGACATTATTAGAATGAACTAACAACACTTTGGAATGATAAGACAAATGTGTATATTTTTCCTTTAAATTCACATTTGTTTTGCTCCATTCAAAAGTTTTGATTTACTAGGTGGAAAAGTATCTGCGGGTCTGGCTATCTATGATACCATGCAGTACATCAACAACCCTATTGCAACACTGTGTATAGGTGAGGCCTGCAGCATGGGTTCCCTCCTTCTTACTGCAGGTACCACAGGCATGAGATATGCTTCACCGAACTCCACTATTATGGTCCATCAACCTCTTACCACTGGTTTACAGGTATGACTGACCAGAGAAGCTGCAATTTTGGCCATGAGTTATGTTCTTTTATGGTAACCTACATTATTCCTTGACAATACAGTTTCAGTGGAAATGTCAGCTTTCATACATGCTATATCACTACTATTTAATAAACTGACCCTTAATAATGAAGTCAGCCATTATATATGTGTTCTGGACATATAGACAGATAAATAAATGTAATTAAAACAAATTTAAGTTCAATTAATGCATTACAATGTATTTAGTTTATAATTAAAGAACTTTTTTGTTAGGCATTGGAAACCTACCCTACCCTCTGATGAAATACATTTATCTTTTGTGATATAGGAATGATCTAAAGGAATCCATCTTTTCAGGGTTATGTCACAGACCTTAAAATAAAAGCTGCCAATATGAAGAAAACAAAGGAGCTGATTCAGGAGCTGTATGTTAAACACACAGGCCTAACACCCCTGGTTATAGGTAAGTAGTGTATTGGGGAGCTGTATGTTAAACACACAGGCCTCACACCCCTGGTTATAGGTAAGTAGTGTATTGGGGAGCTGTATGTTAAACACACAGGCCTCACACCCCTGGTTATAGGTAAGTAGTGTATTGGGGAGCTGTATGTTAAACACACAGGCCTCACACCCCTGGTTATAGGTAAGTAGTGTATTGGGGAGCTGTATGTTAAACACACAGGCCTAACACCCCTGGTTATAGTAAGTATTTGATTGGGGAGGTGTATGTTAAACACACAGGCCTAACACCCCTGGTTATAGGTAAGTAGTGTATTGGGGAGCTGTATGTTAAACACACTGGCTTAACACCCCTGGTTATAGTAAGTATTTGATTGGGGAGCTGTATGTTAAACACACAGGCCTAACACCCCTGGTTATAGTAAGTATTTGATTGGGGAGGTGTATGTTAAACACACAGGCCTCACACCCCTGGTTATAGGTAAGTAGTGTAACACCCCTTTATAGGTAGTTTATTGGGGAGCTTGGCCTCACACCCCTGGTTATAGGTAAGTAGTTTAGGTGTATGTTAAACACACAGGCCTAACACCCCTGGTTATAGTGAGTAGTTTATTGGGGAGCTGTATGTTAAACACTCAGGCCTCACACCCCTGGTTATAGGTAAGTATTTGATTGGGGAGCTGTATGTTAAACACACAGGCCTAACACCCCTGGTTATAGGTAAGTAGTGTATTGGGGAGCTGTATGTTAAACACACAGGCCTAACACCCCTGGTTATAGGTAAGTAGTGTATTGGGGAGCTGTATGTTAAACACACAGGCCTCACAACCCTGGTTATAGGTAAGTATTTGATTGGGGAGCTGTATGTTAAACACACAGGCCTAACACCCCTGGTTATAGGTAAGTATTTGATTGGGGAGCTGTATGTTAAACACACAGGCCTAACACCCTTGGTTATAGGTAAGTAGTGTATTGGGGAGCTGTATGTTAAACACACAGGCCTCACAACCCTGGTTATAGGTAAGTATTTGATTGGGGAGCTGTATGTTAAACACACAGGCCTAACACCCCTGGTTATAGGTAAGTATTTGATTGGGGAGCTGTATGTTAAACACACAGGCCTAACACCCCTGGTTATAGGTAAGTAGTTTATTGGGGAGCTGTATGTTAAACACACAGGCCTCACAACCCTGGTTATAGGTAAGTATTTGATTGGGGAGCTGTATGTTAAACACACAGGCCTAACACCCCTGGTTATAGGTAAGTATTTGATTGGGGAGCTGTATGTTAAACACACAGGCCTAACACCCCTGGTTATAGGTAAGTATTTGATTGGGGAGCTGTATGTTAAACACACAGGCCTAACACCCCTGGTTATAGTAAGTATTTGATTGGGGAGCTGTATGTTAAACACACAGGCCTTACACCCCTGGTTATAGTAAGTAGTTTATTGGGGAGGTGTATGTTAAACACACAGGCCTCACACGCCTGGTTATAGGTAAGTAGTGTATTGGGGAGGTGTATGTTAAACACACAGGCCTCACAACCCTGGTTATAGGTAAGTATTTGATTGGGGAGCTGTATGTTAAACACACAGGCCTAACACCCCTGGTTATAGTAAGTAGTGTATTGGGGAGCTGTATGTTAAACACACAGGCCTTACACCCCTGGTTATAGTAAGTATTTGATTGGGGAGCTGTATGTTAAACACACAGGCCTCACACCCCTGGTTATAGGTAAGTAGTGTATTGGGGAGCTGTATGTTAAACACACAGGCCTCACACCCCTGGTTATAGTAAGTATTTGATTGGGGAGCTGTATGTTAAACACACAGGCCTCACAACCCTGGTTATAGGTAAGTAGTTTATAGGGGAGGTGTATGTTAAACACACAGGCCTCACAACCCTGGTTATAGGTAAGTAGTTTATTGGGGAGCTGTATGTTAAACACTCAGGCCTTACACCCCTAATTATAGGTAAGTAGTTTATTGGGGAGCTGTATGTTAAACACACAGGCCTCACACCCCTGGTTATAGGTAAGTAGTGTATTGGGGAGCTGTATGTTAAACACACAGGCCTAACACCCTCGGTTATTAGTAAGTATTCGATTGGGGAGGTGTATGTTAAACACACTGGCTTAACACCCCTGGTTATAGATAGGTCTCTCCTAGTCATTCTTCAGCTTTTCCGGAGGCTACAGTCATTATTTTGTCATCTTTTGAAAAGCTGATATACATCTTTGACTTAGATATGCATCATCATGCTTAAAATGATTTGTTTGTAAACTTTATTTTGATATAAACTTTATTCATTTTACAACAATTGTAAAACAAGTTATGTCAACCTATACTTTTCACTCTTGTTAGCCTGGATGTAAGCGCGCAAGGGGTCTTCTTGTGGGAGGAAACCGGAGTACCCGGGGAAAACCCATGTGGTGGGGCAGGTGACCCCTTACCTTTACATGTCCGTTCTGGGAATCGAACCCCGGTCGGCTAGGTGAAAGGCGAGTGCATTACCACTGCACCACCCGACCACCCAAACTTTATTTTGCCAATCACTGTATACCAATTATATTAATCATGTAGATTTAGATGGAAGTCTCAAGTAGATAACATTAAGTGTCAAATTATAACTTTTTCTTTTCAGAGAAAGCATTGGACAGGGATAACTACATGACTCCACTTGAAGCCAAAGAATTCGGTTTGATTGATGAAATTTTATGAAAATATGTTATTTATTAAATGTTAGTTTGTATATTTTAAATCAATTTATTTTTGTCTGTTGAAATGAAACTTAATTTTCAAGACAGAATGCCACCCAACAGTATTTCATTAACACACATCCAGCAAGACAAGACAATTACACAGGCGATACTTTTTATGATCATGGTGTGGTATGTATGTCATATATTCACACTATAAGGTCACTTCATCAAGTTCTACACCTGATCAGATTTCATTGGTGATTGGTTAAGTTTAAAGGTCACCTTTGACCTTTTTTTGAAATGAAAAACTTGTGTACAAGATATTCTTTGACCCCCTGAACAGATTTAGCTAAAATAAAAAGATAAAAGATTTTGGGGGCTATCTATGTGAGCCCTGTCTACTTTGTTTTTATTTGTTCTCTATAGGCAGGATTATTTTTCCCATTTTTATTCTTCTTTCCTCTTATTTGATCTTAATACAATGTTTGTTATATTAACATGTTAATTAATCTTAAGGTTACATTAAGAAATAAGGTCAGTACTCCTTACACAGTAACTTTTAAACAAAATGGAGCTGTCCAATTCAAAGATGGCTGTCTGTCGGCCATTTTGTTTTTTATAGTTACTGACTAAATAGACTATGAACAGCCAGGAACAAAGACAAACCTACATATGGAATGATTTAAGAATTATCAGCTCAGTACTTTAGTCATATCAATAGTAAACTATAGCTGTCAAAATTAAATATGGCCACCTATCGGATATTTGGTTTTTTTATCAAGCCCAAAATAGGCAGTACACAACTAGGGATCCAGGAATACCAAGATATTGAATCTGAGAGTGAGCAATCAGGTATGTGTAAAGTAATAGCAACACCTAACTATAAATGTTAAAACCCAAGATGTCATCCTGAGGGCCACTTTGTTTATCCATGTCAAAATTGGTGATGCGGAACCTACATAAGGTATATCAAACAAAATCTAAGATGGCAACCTGTCAGCCATCTTGTTTTGCTGTTTTATTCCAAATAAATTATGCACAACTAGGAATCATGTGGAAATGAAGTGAAAAATCCAATTTTGGAAAGTTATTTTATATCTTGTAAATATGTTAAAGAGGAAGAACAGACATTGATAAATAGGAATATCTCAATGTTGAAATGCATTCTTACCTGGTTCCATAAAGGAAAGGAATGGTTTAATCAAATTGTCAAATACATGCATGTACCTTCTATAATTTTAAGATTTAATTTAAAAGACAAATATAACATCAAAACTGACTTCTTTTCATGGTATTCTAAATTCTATTAAGCCATGCACAGCACTCAAGCAGTTAGGTGATGATGATCTATCTTACCCAATAAATACTGGCCACTAATTCAAACTTTTTCTGAAAAGACAATAAGGGTTAAAAGACTCTTCAAAACTAAATCTAAATGGGAAAAGGAAATGGAATGACTTGTTGGAATTTGTTGATGAAACTTGGAGAAATGTATATAGAATCCCTTTCAGAGTTACAAAAACCACACCTAATTACCTTGACGTCAATACAGAATTAACCAACACATATTAACACAAATGGATTCTCTAATAGTCCACTATGCTTCTAATGTGTAACAGAAACAACAGTACATATATTATGGGAGTGTACAGACATACTATTAAATTTAGAGAACCTTGAATTTTTATTAGAATCATGTTTGATTCATTTTACATTTGATTAAGAAACTTTCATTTCTGATACACACAAGGATTAGAATATATATCAGATAATCTCATGTTTGCAAGCATTGGATTCTTTTATTTTAAAAAAATCTGTTATATTAAAGACAACTTTGATACTCAAAACAATAGTTTTAATATGAACTTTATTTCATTCATAATTACGTACATATAATATAGCAGTGATAATCACATTTGAATCGGAGTCAGAAACAAGTTCAGCAACTTCTATAAATCTGTCTCGTTACCAACACATTACTTTGTAGGACGGAATCAGAGGGGAACATGAATGAATGGAACTTTCGTTTTTATTTGAAAAAAAAAGTGCAGATTTGAGGACGAGTGTCTGTATATCATTGTTAGTTGTATATAAACCATTTATAGATAATGAGTTGGATTTCTTGACATGGAAGTTAATTTCCAGCTCAACATAATTTGGGTGCAGCTTGCACTCTTTATGTACAGATGTAAGTGTTGTACCACATTTTCTATAAATCTTTAGTCTGATACTGAAAGAAATGATTTAAACTGTTGATAACAACTTTTAACAGTAAATGACAACTTTGAGATTGATATAGTGTTATTTTGATGACTAACATCAGAATGTTGAGTGGATATTTTACTATAAATTACTAAAATACAGTTTTCATGTTTGATATGATCTGTAACAGATTTGAATTGATATAACTGTCTCTGGTTTGGTCATCTCTCATGTTCCGGTGTTGGAGATTTCTTTGAATGTTGAAGGATTCTGCAAAGGAGAAAGAGAAATTATAAGAGGCGAGCTCGGAACAAACAATCACAGGGAGTAAACTCAATGAAAATGTTTATTATTCAAATAATTTTGTTTTCAGAAGTTGAGCTGGTCATCATACTCAGACGTCAGATTTTTTTCTAGAAAAATATAAATTCGAAACAGTTGTTAAAGAGGAGTATCAGTGAAACTGATGATTGCTCCCAGAAAACGATTATATTGGGCACAAAATCTAATTAAAAGGAAATAATTCTGTAATTAAGAAGTTGCAGGCCCTGAATTTGGTACACTGCACATTCTGTTAGTATGACCAATGTATACAACAAGTTTCAATAACTCCTAAATGATGCCAAATATAGTTATGGTTCTTGTACACTGCACTTCTCCTTAAAGAGATCTATCTACCTTTTAAGGTGTATGTTGATACCTCATATATTTTTTATGATATGCCCCGGACAAAATTATACAGACGGACGGACACAGCAGTAACTGTATGCTCTATCTTCGGGGAACATGAAAAAGCGAGGAATTTAACTCTTTTTATGTATCAATTCCTCGTTTTTTTATTATTTTTTCAGAGTAATATTTTTCTGAAAAAAAAATCATTGAGTTATTCCCCTGTAATCAGTGATGCCATGGACTTAACATGTCGGTATGCTAAAATCTGTACCATTAGCCATTCAATATTCACTGTAAAGAATAAGACCCCAGTTTTTTTTTTTTTTTTTTTTTTTTTTTGTTTTTGACTGTTTAGCAAACATTTATTAGGTCGAGTGACATTTCAATAGAACAGGTTGCAATTTTTCAAATATTTACATATTCTCTGAAATAACTTCATGTTGAGCCAAAGATACGTTAGCATTTACATGAGATGGTAACACAAGATTTCTCGAGCAGTTCTTTATAACAATTCTACATTACAAATACTTCAACAATTAACAGCAATCACTGTTTCAAAAGGAACACTTAGTATACAAATATATATAACATGAAATATACTAATTAATTATTCATATTTCTATAGTTTTCACCGATCCAGGTGACATTTGACGAGACAGGGTGCAGTAACCTACCTGTACAGCTAGGAAATGTACTTTTTCCGTTCATATTTGTCTCTGATGAACTGTTCCAGTGAAGCTCTACCCATTTGTTAAGGAGCTGCATAATGTTTAGAATGGGGATATATAGATACTGTGGTTTTATAAGTAACACAAACTTACTAGAAAGCACCATCGATACCAAACCCTTCCCATAATACACCATCGATAGCAAACCCTTCCCATAATACATCATCGATATCAAACCCTTCCCATAATACACCATCGATACCAAACCCTTCCCATAATACACCATCGATACCAAACCCTTCCCATAATACACCATCGATACCAAACCCTTCCCATAATACACCATCGATACCAAACCCTTCCCAAAATACACCATCGATACCAAACCCTTCCCAAAATACACCATCGATACCAAACCCTTCCCATAATACACCATCGATACCAAACCCTTCCCATAATACACCTTCCATACCAAATATTAATTGCCCGGTGTCATACACATGTATATGATCAACAATGCCCCCGTTATTAATGCATTGCTTTAGTAATTTGATACCCATCGATATCAAAACCTGTTTATAGTCGCTGGTTGTATAGATCTAAGCCATAGTACCATCGAATAACGATACAATATAAAATGAGATGAAAATGGATACGAATTATTATTCGGTCGGTCAAAATCCGCAGGAAGTTCTGCCTCGTAAACATCATTTACTGTGATGTTTCCCTTCTCCCTCATAACCTACAACACATCCAAAATTTATAACTGTCATTTTTGTGTCCGTATGATACTGATTATCACAACAAAGTTACGATATTTTTTATTAGCGAAAATTATTCTTTGATATAAATCAGCGATCGTGAAGCGTCAACTTACATCAACTTCTTTAGCAGTCCAGGCATCCAAGTTTACAGATTTAATTTTACTGATACTTGCGCCAATTTTTCGGTGTATTCCCGCACAGTGTACACAAATGAATATGCCCAAGGTCGTCGACGCCCATTTTGGAGCTTTAAAGATAAATGGTTTTGATTGACCTACCAAGAACCAAGTATAAAAGCAATTCAAATTATTAATAGGAATACAACGTGAAAAAATATGAATATAGCTGATTAAAGGAGTTGTAGACAGCGGTCAGGCAAAATAATAGAGGTGTAGAAGTAGAAGACTCCGCGTGGGACACGTACATTCGCAGCTTGTGACTAAAGAACAGAGAAACATGCACTCCATGGGACACTCAATATCTTACGAATAAAGTAACAAACACTCCATTGTACTGTCAGTATCTAAACAATACAGTAACATACACTCCATGGGACTGTCATTATCTAAACAATACAGTAACATACACTCCATGGGACTGTCATTATCTAAACAATACAGTAACATACACTCCATGGGACTGTCATTATCTAAACAATACAGTAACATACACTCCATGGGACTGTCATTATCTAAACAATACAGTAACATACACTCCATGGGACTGTCATTATCTAAACAATACAGTAACATACACTCCATTGTACTGTCAGTATCTAAACAATACAGTAACATACACTCCATGGGACTGTCATTATCTAAACAATACAGTAACATACACTCCATGGGACTGTCATTATCTAAACAATACAGTAACATACACTCCATGGGACTGTCATTATCTAAACAATAAAGTAACATACACTCCATGGGACTGTCATTATCTAAACAATAACATACACTCCATGGGACTGTCATTATCTAAACAATACAGTAACATACACTCCATGGGACTGTCATTATCTAAACAATACAGTAACATACACTCCATGGGACTGTCATTATCTAAACAATACAGTAACATACACTCCATGGGACTGTCATTATGTAAACAATACAGTAACATACACTCCATGGGACTGTCATTATCTAAACAATACAGTAACATACACTCCATGGGACTGTAATTATCTAAACAATACAGTAACATACACTCCATGGGACTGTCATTATCTAAGCAATACAGTAACATACACTCCATGGGACTGTCATTATCTAAACAATAAAGTAGCATACACTCCATGGGACTGTAAATATCTTAATGATGTATCATGCACTCCATGGGACTGTCAGTATCTAAACAATACAGTAACATGCACTCCATTGTACTGTCAACACCTTAACAATAAAGTAACATACACTCATTGTACTGTCAATATCTGAAGAATAAAGTAACATGTACCCCGGGGACTGTCAGTAATAACAAGTGAAGTAATATGCATTTTAATGCTGAGACAGTAACAAAAGAACATAATACTTCTTTTGTAGTGGTCGGTAGTGTGTTGAACTCGCGACCGACCCAAGCTTTTGGTCAGTTTTAGCTGACACGACATTAACCAGACACGGTTGAGTACTACAATGTATTATGGTACAGTATTCGACAATCTATATAGTTTTAAGTGATCTGCCTTTGAGACTGGGTAATTACGTTCAGACAATTCCAAAACCTACTTGTCGCCTCACAATCAGCACAGTGTTTGTTACCGTCCAACTTCAGTAAATTTTGTATAGAAAGAGCAGCCCATTTCCTCTCTTCGTCAGCTTTAAGCCCCATGTTGGAAAACTGTTAGTGTATTCGTAGGTAGTGCTAGTGTTTATTTCAACTCGCGACTCAAGCAATGAACAAATGTGTATTTATAGATATTGCACAGGTAGACATATTCCACAATATATACACAGAATCAAACTAGTCAATATGTGGAATTTCCGTGACGTCATTCCTCTTAGGTAAATATTGTTTTGTATGGAGACGTGCGTCTCTGTGTAAACTATAACTGAAGATTTAACAATATCATTCAATATTTTAGGCACAGCTTGAATAACCAAAGAAAACATTGAAAGTGTTGATTGTTAAGAATATATCTGCTGTAATATTTTTTAAAAAAAAATTGAAATACATAACGGCAATTTAAAACTATCTCAAATCAAGAAGAGCGCAGGTAGGACATTTTAATGATAATGGACTAAAAATGGGCACACTCTCCGCCATTATCATAAGAGCCATAATACAGTTGCGACATATCATTAAAATCTTATATGTTTCCATAGGAACATACATGACGAAGAAAGAAAATTCTTGAGTATCAGCTTGCAACACGTTAAAAATGGTATTTCCCGAAATCTCTATCGTACGCTCAATGTAGGATTTTTCAATGAAGAGTAAATCAAACGATGTTAAATTACAATACATATTTCACCACAAGTAAAAAAAAATACACTGATGTTTAAATTTGAAATGTTACATAATATAGCGTTTTACACAAAACATATCAGTTTGATACTTAGAGTATTCTTCTGCAATAAATATAGAATAGGTATGAAGCAAGTTTGTCTGTAGTTGTGTCCTTGGCCGGGACACTTTAATCTGAATTGCTCTGGATGGCATGTGATGGGCCACCCATATAGTGTTCAGCGAGGTAGCCATAAGCTACTACAAGGAGACCTTGCCTCAAAAAGACCTTGCTTGCAAGATGTTTGTTTGTTTATTGTTTGTTCAATTTAACAAATCACACTGCATTGTCATAACCTGGACACGGTATCAGGATTTCCCATCCGCTCAAACAATAGTGACTACATGAACACTTTTATAGTGTCGTCACAATTATATAGAATGACAACCGGTTACGTATTGCCAGGGGAGGTAACCTATAACCATTGCCTCAGTAAGGGGAGATAATCCATAATCTTCTCAGTTTGTCTCATCAATGTGATAAACTTTTTCCTTTGTCTCAGTTAGAGACGAGAACCTTAAACTTCCTCGTTTGTCTCAGTCAGGAAATAAAACACAAACTTCCTCGTTTGTGTCAGTCAGGGGATAGAACACATAACCTTCCTCGTTTGTTTCAGTCCAGGGATAGAACACATAAACTTCCTCGTTTGTCTCAGTCAGGGGATAGAACCCATAAACTCCCTCGTTTGTCTCAGTCAGGGGAGAGAGCCCATAAAGTCCCTCGTTTGTCTCAGTCAGGTGAGATAACCTATAACCTTCCTCGTTTGTCTCAGTCAGGGGAGAGAACCCATAACCTTCCTCGTTTGTCTCAGTCAGGTGAGATAACCTATAACCTTCCTCGTTTGTCTCAGTCAGGGGAGAGAACCCATAACCTTCCTCGTTTGTCTCAGTCGGGGGGGGGGACCCATAACCTTTCTTGTTTGTATCAGTAAGGGGATAGAGCTCATAACCTTCCTCGTTTGTCTCAGTCAGGGGAGAGAGCCTATAAAGTCCCTCGTTTGTCTCAGTCAGGGGAGATAACCTATAACCTTCCTCGTTTGTCTCATTCAGGGGAGAGAACCCATAACCTTCCTCGTTTGATTCAGTCAAGGGAGAGAGCCCATAACCTTTCTTGTTTGTCTCAGTAAGGGGATAGAACTCATAACCTTCCTCGTTTGTCTCAGTCAGGGGAGAGAGCCCATAAAGTCCCTCGTTTGTATCAGTCAGGGGAGATAACCTATAACCTTCCTCGTTTGTCTCAGTCAGGGGAGAGAACCCATAACCCTCCTCGTTTGTCTTAGTTAAGGGAGAGAACCCATAACTTTCCTCCTTTTAAACGAGCGTTCAATACTAAAGAAAAAGCTTGGGACATTAGGAAATAAAAAAAAGAGGATAATGAAAATCTAAGGTGACAAGCATGCCAAGTTAAGTAGCCTCTTGTGAGTGCGATTACTAAGCCCTACCTCAAAGGACTCCTTCAAGCTTCCATGGAGATTCTTTCTTTATAACTATGATGTTTTTTTGTTTGTTTGTTTTTTTTTTTTTTTTGCATGAAAATCCGTTCTTTACGAAGAATTAAACCGTGAAAATCCGAGGTACGAGAGTATCGAATTTTAGTAATATTGTTAACCAATAAAATTCGTGAATGTTCAATTTCCATTTATGAAATTACTTCATGTGATGACTGAATCAAAGTGTTTAATATTCCTATTTTTTCTATTTTTCTCGTGGTGTCGAATCTTTTTTCCTTACCTGCTTACAATGTGGTTCCCCTTAAAAAGTGTACATCAGTACATTATAATGAACATCTATTCATGATTCTGACATCGACCCCTGACATCTATTCATGATTCTGACATTGACCCCTGACATCTATTCATGATTCTGACACTGACCCCTAACATCTCCGACAGTTCAGAAGAAGTCTATAACATTTTCTGAACTTTTTGTCCATAAATGTGTTTTTAATACTTTTTTATTACAAAGAGGTAAAGTTGTTGGTGAAGCGTATCTTTGTATCCAGTGTTTTGGTTATATATACTCTCCATTTGTATTTTAATATAATAATGTATACCTTTGTTACAACACATGATACGTCCAAATCCAGTAACACATACACAACTATTAGATGAGCGGCTATACATCATTGCCTTGAAAGTAAAAAGTAAAAATAAATGACAAAACAATAAATAACACGACGTTTCCTTGTTTCATTCTTTAATTTTTCATAAACCTGAATCTTTCAAATCCTACACCATTGAGATTTTAAAATCTTCAATGTTGTATCCATTTGTAACAGTATTACATAATATATATGATTCAACCAATCACCACACCCGCGCCATGTAATTTCAACAAGTCGTCCTTAATGTCAGGAAGCCGGCTCTGGGCTGAATCGACAAAATTATACAGCAGTATGCAAAATATACAAGTTTGTATATTTTTTTTCAAATTCTTAAAAATATAGTTAGATACATTTTCGTTTGTGCAACGAGAACATCAGTAACAAAAATTGCAAGAAAGGAGATATGTAAATATCTTTTTTTCAGTTGTTGTTTTTTTTCGCCTAAAATTATATCATTACTTACGCAAACACTGATCGGCAACTTTGATGTATTCCTTACAGCAGACTAGATGTTCGTCTGGACATGATGTCGGCACCAGTCTGCTTGTGTAACTCGCTTTGTACGCCCTCTTGTACCTTCCGTCGTAAGTATCATCAATATATTACATCATTTTTTTTACTGTCATAACAAACCTGAGGTGAAACTTGCAACAATATGATGGGTACGACAAAGTAATATCAACTGGTGAAAACGTCATCATTTTGGTGGTTGACGTCACGTCTACAATTATTCCAACAGTACTAGCGGGCGTCATTATAGAGTGAACGATCGTAACATTTTAGCACTAAAAATTGAACATTTGCATAAAGAATTATCCATTTTGGTGAATTTATCATTGAACCAACAAAGCGGATTTATAAACACGATAAATAACACGTGTTATTTACCCAGTAGTGTAAGAGGTAGAGCTACATCTGCTAAGCCACAGGAATCCACAGCTCTTGGAGTGGGTGTGTTTTATGGGGATGACAACAGTCACAGACACGGTTCGGGAATCCACTATCGTTTTGGTTGGATTTATGTTACAGCACCAGTGAGCTCTAAAAGACAGATGGTTAATTTAACAACACCAAATCACTGAGATGGAAAACCAACAACGCCGAGCAGTCACGGAGACGGAGAACCTGCAACCAACTTACTAAACCAAACCAAAAACACCGAGTCATTGAGATGGAAAACCAACAACACCGAGTCACGGAGTAGGAAAACCTGTAACCAACCTAACAAACCAAACCAACAACACCGAGGCATTGAGACGGAGAACCTGTAACCAATCTTCCAAACCAAACCAACAACACCGAGTCACGGAGACGGAAAACATCTGATTGACCCACCAAACCAAACCAACAACATCGAGGCATTCAGATGGAAAACCTGTAACCAACCAACCTACCAAACCAAACCAACAACACCGAGTCACGGAGACGGAAAACATCTGATTGACCCACCAAACTAATCCTCCAACACCGACAGCCTGACGAACAATCGGTGGCTTGATTTATTTACATGTCACAATTTCAATGCACTTTGCATCATTGCACAATAGACACCCTTTAATACAGTAATATAGATAAAGCATACTCCGATTATTAAACGACTTTCCAGCTCTCGTGATTGTAACTTACAACCAACAGTGTAGAATCTGAATCGGTCGAATCAGAAACCTCCTGCAAGATCCAAGGACGCACAAGCCCCAGGAACTTTGGGGTCAAATCTAGTATTCAGCCATGGTATGATACTAATGTGTTAAATTATTAAATACTTAATAGAAATAGTAATCAAATTAACTGATGTCAGAAGCCTTATCCGTATGAGAATGTAACAGACAGGTACGGGATATCAAAACTGAAGGACAAACAGAATTAACCTTTCAAATGACGAGTGCATTACGGCCAAAGTGGAGTACTGTACGACCTGCCTTGGGATAGGTGGGCCACCAACGCTCAAAGGAACAAACTTTCAATAGCGTTCAATATCTAAGAATCCCATGAGCAGAGAAACAAATCAAAGGAAACTATGGACAGCATGACTGAATTGCCAATAATTTTCATATCCTTTCACTAATCAAGCTGTAATGAAATATCGAACATATTTACGTTTCGTCGCCAGGGGCTCTACTTTCGCGCAAGACTTCTTTCACGCGCTCTGGTAGAGAGTCATATTTCAAATTCCCAAACATTGTTGCCTCATCCTGAAGAACTGAATCCAGCATGTGGGAAGGAATGAAGGCCATTAAGGCAATCAAAACTAAATTAAACTTCAACATGTCGTCACGATGTCAACGATATCTAACCCAGGCAGATTCACAGAATTCCCAATCTTCTTATCACTCTGAATTGTTATCTATGAGCTCAAGGTCTCTTACATATATTTTATAGACAGGAAGACATAACAGTTGGCAGGGTTGTTTATGTCTCTTATAATGTATTCTACTACGGGCTGAGAACTTTCTCGTTGCAATATCTTCCGTAAGAATGGAATTTATTTTTTCCTTTTAAAGTCCAACTATACTGATTATATATTTCTCTGTAACTCGCCTGCCAGTCATAAAAATATTATGAACTTTACTGTCCATTTCTGTGGTTGTAACAGTGACAGGCATTCCTGGACGGGCGTCATCCCCAAGGCTCTGCCTGTCACGCTTAAATTCCGTTACCTGCCTTTTCACAGTAGCGTATGAAGGAGCATCATTCCTTAATGATGCTACCACATCAGTATGGATATCCTTAATTGCCACACCTTTCTTATGCAAATATTGAATCACTGACCTTTCATCGATTTTGTCTATTTTGCAAAAGTCACTTTCCGTGCTTACTTTCGAATGCTACCTCTTCGACATAAACTGACCAAATGACACCCGTCTGCTGATTCACAGCCTTAAATAGTCAGGGATTAGTAGAAGTGAAAAATGATATCCCTGCTTAATTTCTTCAATACAAGGCTCACAATTCAAATCAGCCCTCGTAATATGAATGATGACCAGTGCTATGCGCCACGTACATGTAACAAAATAAAACACATGAGATGGAGACAACATATATTATGAACTAATTCACGAATTATTGAAATATTGTGACATGTTTTTGAACACTCAAAAATGCAGATGCAAACAACATCAGTGTTCCAAAACACAGAACAACATTCTATAGTAAACAATTTCTTATTGCTGGTATCCAACTTTGGAATGGACTTCCAAAATGAGTTGAAGACTATAAACATATTTCCCAGTTTAAAACAAAAGCTTATCAAACATCTTCATATTTTTAAAAATTCATCTCTTAATTTGGTAATACAATTGTTTTAGATTATGCTACACTAGCGTGTAACTAGGTCATTTTTACATTTTGCTATGTTAGCATTAGGCAATAGCCATTTAATTGATGTAACAACTTTGCATGATCATTGTGCATTCTGTGATATTTTTTACTTAACAAATACTGTGATAGTAGGTTTTTAGGTTATTTTGTGTTATTATATTGTGATTCTGTTTTATGTTATTGTGTGTACCGTTTTTGTTATTTAATTTTGTAATTAACCCATGTGTTTTACTAACAAGAGGAGCATGTGGAAGATTAGCTGTTTGGCTAAATATGTTTCATCCTTAATAAAGAATGTTTATTATTATTATTGTTATATATGTAGAACATGCATCTGCTCCTTCTCCACGCACTGATACACTGACCACATACCGAAACTCACAACTTGTTAAGGTTCGCGAGAGAGGGAGAGAGAGAGAGTGCGTGTGTGAGAAAGAGAGAAACCCCCTCACTCCCCCCACCCACCCACACGCACTTAACAACGACTGACGGACCGACATATAAGACACACCGAACCGATTTGTCTCCCTTGTGGAACTCTTATGTGTTTAACGGTAGAATTTGAATTTGGTCACGTGGTACGCTGCCATAGATAATTTATCGCACCGTGCAGGTGAACACTTGCATAACTTAAGTCATGTGATTGAACTCTTGTGCTGTATTTCTGCCTCATGATGAATTCTACCAGTCATAATTTGTTATTGACAGACAAATGGATCCTTTCAGTGAAAGTTGCAATTTGGACCGTCGTCTGCTCCTCACGCACTGAACCGCATGGCTTGGCCAGATTGGCAAGTCACCTTCAGCGCCACCATTTTCTAAATTGCGCCAGGATACTCTATCGGGACACGTCACCTCATACCTACAAGGATACCGCCTTTGCTTGACCTGGTTCATAATACTTAACCTATCAACCTCATGTTCTGGGACAATGTAACTCTGAAAAAGTTTGGTGGTTATTCCCATGAAGATGGAGAAAATTCGTTAAAGAGTTTATGTCGGATATCATATCTAATGGAATGGTGTCCGACCCTTTGAGGACTATTGCAGCTTTTCATCTACATCTGCTTGCACCAGCTCAGGTTTGGTATCATCAGTTGTCTGTTCTCACAACCTTATCATGGAAGGAAGCTGATTTTTACGCACAGTATGGCAGTGTTTTAGCCGTGGACCCATCCCTGAACAAAGGACCAGCAGTGTTTGATAAATTGAAGCTCCGCCCCACACAGTTATTTGAAGATTTCCATTCCATGATTTGGGAGAAAGGCCACTTTCTACATAAGCCTGAGAGAGACATGATCAGCAGATTTATTGAGTAGTTACCTCCCAAGTTGGCCATGCTTGTTCAATTATCTTGTTGTACATTATTTAAGGAGACACTTCAGGTAACTAAAACTTGGGAGGTTTGGAGTTACCAGCAGCCGACCTCAGAGCTCACTTGTAGATGAAGTAAATCTTATATCATTGGTTGTGGATACAGCTGCTCCATCCTCTTTCCCTGAAACCTGTCCCCAACCCAAACATATTGCAAATTTAACTGGTTATAGCTGTAGTGGCACAGGACACATAAAAAATGTTGCTGGACTGGGATAGGTCAGATGTTTGTGATTTATGTGACTTAAATCTGGAAGCACTGCAAAGCGCGAGTCCTAATTCCCAACACACAGATAGAGAAACAGACATAAAAACTTACATATAGAGATACTGACATCTGGATAGAAAGAAAGTACAAACAGACGGATGGACAGTGTGTGTATGTGTGTGCGCGGGGTTTGTGCGCATGGTCAGATCAGACGCAAAACAATTTCAGAAATGAGATTGAAATGTTTACTTTCAACCAAAAAATGTTAAGATCATGCGTGAAAGCTCCATGTCATGATTCTGAATAGGTATGTCTATAGGTCACAGATTATTGTATTATCAACTATGTTTTAGATATTTTTTAGAATGAGCTTGAATGACACATTAATCTGTTGAAAAAATTGTGTGCATTTAAAGTTTGTATCTGGGATGTACAGTCTGTATATTTTTAATTACGTTTAATGATCACTGGCAGAATTTTTTTCTAATTTTGTGTGTCCATGCAATTGCTTTTAAAAAGAATCCATGCAATGCATATTTGTGACACATTGAAAATATGGAGCATTTTCATCAGACAGATTGTCAAATTTTCGTAAATACTTGTTTAAATCTCTGGAGTATTCTGACATTCTTTCAAACCTGATCCCTACATATTTTGAAATCCAGCTAAATCTCAACCTTTAGTATTCAAATGTCCTGTATTATTAGTTTCATAACTATCCTGACACTTTATCAAATACAAGCTCTGGGATATTTTGACACCCTGGTAAAATTATGCCTAGAGTATTCCAACATCCTGTTTAATCTGAACTCAGATTATTTTTTAACATTGTGTAAAATCTGAGCTCATATTTTTTTGACATTCTGTTGAATCTGAACCCCGAGTATTCTTGACACCCTATTAAATCTGGCTCCTGCATATTCAGATATCTTGTTACATCTGACCTTGAGTATGCAGTCATGTCCTCAAGTATTCTGAAATTTTGTTATGTCTGATTCCTAAGTATTCTGACATCTTGTTAAATCCCATTCCAGAGTTTTCTGACATATAAACATCAGAAAAATATATTTTATTAGAAGAAAAATTGAAAACATGGTCACCAGTGTAATTTCAACAAATTCTATTGCTGATTAAGTGACAAATATACAATATACACTACAGAGATAGGGGTCCAATATATATGTATAGTATAAGTCATGCCTAAATCTACAGTATAAGTTTACATTGATACCAACATTAATAAATCGAAAAGATTAAAAATAACATCCTCCAAAAACTACTGATATCAATTACAACAAAACCTGATGTAAAAAAGATTGAATATAAGAAAATAAAACAAAAGGAGGTAATCCAGAGGTATTGACTAAAGATATTCAATAGGAACGTTTGATCATACCGTAAGTGATACCAATACTGATATCATTGTCACAGTGTTCTTCCTTTCAATTCTGATTGTTGTCGTTTATATTGTCCCTGGTCATCTAATGGTAAGACTGACCAATGCTAGTCAGTTGATGTTTAAACCTGAGGTGATAACTTTCCCAAATGCCAGTTGTAGGTGATGGTGAGAATTTGTGTTAAGAGTGAAAATGGCAGTACCCAGCATAGGTTTCACTAGGAGATGTATTGAGATATGTATTTCTGTATCGTAGATTTCTAGGTGAGAACCTCGCTGAAGGGTGATCTGACATTCCTGTTGTTTAAGTTGTTTGTCGTACATCTGCAGGTCTTTTTTTATATTTCTATCAGATTTCTAGGTGAGAACCTCACTGAAGGGTGATCTGACATTCCTGTTGTTTAAGTTGTTTGTCGTACATCTGCAGGTCTTTTTTTTATATTTCTATCAGATTTCTAGGTGAGAACCTCACTGAAGGGTGATCTGACATTCCTGTTGTTTAAGTTGCTTGTCGTACATCTGCAGGTCTTTTTTTATATTTCTATCAGATTTCTAGGTGAGAACCTCACTGAAGGGTGATCTGACATTCCTGTTGTTTAAGTTGCTTGTCGTACATCTGCAGGTCTTTTTTTATATTTCTATCAGTCTGGTGTTGCCCTCTACTGTCTGTTTATAAACAGAGATTGTCTGTCCTGTAAGTAGATCTAGTTTTTGTTTTAATTTATCTGAGTTTTTAGTTAGAATGAAAGTTTCTTAAAATTACTGATGTTGTCGTTAAGTAATGTATCAGCATAAGTGATATATTTCCTGACTTGTACCAGGTCATTTTGTTCTGTTTTGTCAAATTTCATTGAGTTCACATTCAGGATGGCTTTTGTGAAAGGAAGTTACACATTTTGGATAAATGAGTTCCTGATATTTCCCACAGTAAAGATCCAGTTGTTTTTCTTTTTGATGAATACATTTTGTCA